TGTGTGTGTGTGTGTGTGTGTGTATGTAAGTTCATCTTGTTAGTTTCTTCTGGTTCAAGTAGTTCAAAAGGTGAATTAACCCCCCTGGTATTTAATTTTCTATGAAGCAGATAGGGTTCTCTGTTCACACAGTCTCTAGAAAGTTGTGCTGCAAACCCAGAGGTCTCCACTCTCTGGTGGTTCAAATCCACTAGCACCTCTGCAGGAGAAAGGCAGGAAAGTTCTCACGTGATTAAGACCTTGGAAACCTGCTGGAGGGTCAGCTGTGAGTTGGTTGTGGCTTGACATCAATTAACTTTAAGTTTGAACTTGATAGAACTTTCTAAGGACTGTTTTCAAGAACAAGGACCAATTTCCATTTCATTTTACTGTTCAACATTTAAATTTTTTTTCTGCTGAATAGTATGTATGTACTCTTCTAAATGTTCACTAAATGATAATCTTATCAGTGGACCATTATCATGTTATAATATCATTTAAGTATTGCCTTCACAATTCAGAATATTCTTAGGCTTCTCAAGATTGACACTTACAGACATCATGATATTTTATGAGAAGACTGTGCACTTGCCTGAAATTTATGCCAAGACCCTAAAGGTCACATTATCACATTTTTATTAAAAGCCAAATCTTAATTATGCTAAGTTAAATTCATCTCTAGAAACTAAGAAGTTGTTAATTTATGCATCGCAATTTCTCCAAATAGGTTCAATGTGGCTACTTTGTCCCTATGTCCAGAATAACTGAGTTTTACTACATGTGTATAGATAGGATCCTTCTATTCTTTTATTTCCATTATTTTCTACCAGTCATAAAATTTAAGTATGGCAAAAAGTGATGACAAATATCTTATAAAAATTAAATATGGATCAAATTTAAAAATTAAACCAGGATCATTGAAGGTTATTGTAGTTTATGAATTTATAATATCAATGTTTAAATAATAGTCTTGACATTTTCAATGTCCAATGACAAACCATAATTCAGAAGAAGAATTTATAATTTGTAAGACTTTATAAAATGTTTTTAGTTTGGACTGAACTATGACATTTTTTCTAAGAAGTGTTAAATATACAATGGACTGCTAGAAGAACAAGCAGATTCGTTCTGGAGGTGAAATCAGGCTGCTCCTAGGAGGCAAGGATTCTGAAGCTTTGTCTGACATAAAGGAGGGACAAGTCCTTGGAGAGGGAAGTCATGCTCGGGAGGGTGGATGGACAGCACAAGAGAGGAAGACCCTTGCTGAGATGGATTGATTCAGTCTCTGGGGCAATGAGGGTAGGCGTGTCAGAGACAGTAAGGTTGGCACAGGATAGAGCAGGCTTTAGAGCTCTTAGTGTCACTATGCGTTGCAAAGGACTCGATGACACATAACAACAAAGAATAGTAATTATGTTAGTGTTGTTGATTGCCTTCGAGTTGAGCATGACTCACAGTGACCCTGTGAACAGGAGGCCTGAAGCAGAGTGCGATATTGATATTTATCAAAGTCCATAGAGTTTCTGGAGGCAGGTTATTTATGAAGTGGATGCCACTCCTGCTTCCAAAACAGTAATTATAGCATGGATATTATTTTCAGTATAGAAAATGGATTGCACGTTATTTACTCAATTCAATTCACTATCATCAAAATCAGAACTGACTTATAGTTGACAGTTTGGCAGATTTTCAGAGACTGTAATCGCACTGGAGCACATTGCCCATTTTTCTTCTGTGGACAGTTGGTGGATTTGAACAGTTCGCCTTTGGGTCAATAGCATAATTTACCAACTAGCTCACCAGAGCTCTGCAATAGTGGCTAGTGGTAAAAAAGATGCACTGCAATTCCAAAGGCATGAAGTTCAAGTCCACCAGTTGCTCCACAAGAGAAGGATGCACATCTCTTCCAGAGAGATTTGCTCCCTCTGAAAACTGCTAGGTCAACTATGAGTCAGTTCTCACTTGATGGCACACAACAACAACAACATGTTTTTACTGCAGAGTTTGCTGACACAATGGTTTAAGCACTTGCCCACTACACTGAAAAGCTGATTGTTCAAACTTTATTGGCAGTTCAACTGGAGAGAGATGCCAGTTTGCTTTTGTAAATAGTGAGAGTCTTGGAAACCTTGCATTAGCAGTTCAAATGTCTCTTAGATTGCTTGCGGCTGGAATCAGCCTGATTGAGACAAAGGGTTGTTGTTTTGTTTTTAATATGCTAAAGCCTTTTAAAGGAAAATAAGATAATCCTGGTTTCTACACTACTACAATCATGGTTTACCAGATGCTCTGCTGAAGAAGGAGCGACAATCTCCTCCTGTACCAGTCAGATCCGATTTGATGGTACACACATAAAAAACAAACAAACAAAAAACAACCAAAACCCCAATCATGGTTTATATTATGACTGGTGAAAAAGTGTTTTTAAACCCTACACATGAGGCTTTTCTATTTTCTTCTTTTTCCTCTCTCTTAATCTTTCTTTAAATTATCCTTTTTGTTTACAAGCCGTTGTCAACAGAAGCTAAATAATAAAGCAATTCTGTTTCTATAGCTATCTATATTTATATTTACCCTTTTCAAAAGATAATCATTAAATTTAAAGAATTAAGTTTAAAATTGCTTTGGAAAGGTTTTGCAAAAACTTTTCCTTCAGTTGTGCTAAGTGTTCTTGTGTAATTAAAATGTTTAGAAATATACTGAAATTGTTTAGATTTGGCATTCGTTATGTTGTAAGTTAATGTATAATGTGTTTTTAGAGAGAATGTGCAGTTTTTGACGCAGATAGTATATTTTTTCATACAAAAGAATGGCGCGCATTTTCCTTATGTTATGTATATAGATATAGTTGTTGTTATGTGCCGTTGTACATAGATATAGTAGCATTTAAAATATTCAAATTGAAAAATGAAAAAAATCCAGTGAAAGCTTTCATACATTTATGGAAGTTCTTCTAAAATATATGAACATCTTAAAGTACAAATAATTTAATCCACTTAAGATCTACAAAGATAAATAAAACAGCAAAATCCTATGGGTGGTGCGATTTGGTAATAGCAATCTAGTCCCCAGTTGCTTCCTTTTCAAATAAATACATATTTATATCTGCTTAAAAGGTTAAGCAAAATACAGGTGAGAAAATATTAAATCAAATAAATGCAAGATTGCCTTTTCCACTGAAGTAGATACTGCACAACAGGGGCAAAAAAGTAATGTTGACAACACCTTTTTAACAGCGGATGACATCACCTGTGAAGGCCAGAGATTTGAAAGTGTATGTTTATACCAAACATATTTACCAAAACATTCATTCTGAGGTTTGTGAGGAATAAGTTGAATCTCCATTTCCCCCAAAGTATGCCTGGTATGTGTGCTAACTTACTGAATTCATCCTTCATGCAATTCCAGTTTATTAAAGAGGTTAAAAATTTATAAAACTCTGATGGGATATGGTTTTAATGCTTCATCACACTACCCATCATTTGCTTTTCAATCTAGATCAGAATGATCTTTCCCACTTCCCTGCAATCACCTACCTGCACAGCTAATATTTTCTGAATACTCTCTTGAGAGCATGCCTGGAACTTGGCCAGCCTCGTCTCACTGTAGAGGGACACCAGTTTGAAGAGCGTCTCCCATACCTTATGCATCCTCTTTTGCAGCGCACAGAGCTAAAGGGACAAGGAGGGAGGAAAGAAGAAGAAGGAGAGAAAAAAAATAAAACACCACAAATCAGAGCAGGAGAGGAAATTAATGGCAGTGTTCAAGAAGAATGATGGAGGGAAATATAAAAAGCAGTCAATAGCCCATTCTGCACTGTACGGACCTGACAAGAATTTCACAGTCTCTTGATTTTTCAACCCACTCATGTGCATTCATCAGAAACCAGTCACATCTGGCTGCCAGGATGGGGGGTTAATTTTCTCTAAATGCCTCAGCAGTTTTGTTCTAGCTGAGGCAAACTCTGTGACTGCAAAGCTGATGAGTAAAATATTTCTACTTCACCCAGTTTAACTCTAAACCGATAGCCTCGGGACATATTGAACCTTTCTTTTTTTTTTAAAAAATAATCTTTTGAAGCTTTTTTGAATGGCACGTCAGGTCAAGCCAAAGTTTAAAAATGCAACTTTAAGACTTTGATGGACGTCTTGGCTTCTTTTTTTTCCCCCTCATAAAGCTTACCATTGCTTGGCAATGTGTGCTTCAGAGCATGACAAAACTAAAGAGAATTAACTTAGCCATCAACTGCTGGGGGAGAACAATAGCAGGAAAGAAATTTCCAGCAAGAACTCCCTATTAATCTACCTCCCTCTGACCATGTGACAAGGAAACATATCATTGCACTCAACTACAGTAGATGCAGCGCTCAGAAGTGACAGGCTTAATGCTAGATGTGCACAGAAGGGGGGAGAGAGAGAGAGAGAGAGAGAGAGAGAGAGACTGAGAGACTTCTCTGAAGAGGCATTCTGCATCATTTGGCAAATCTAATAAAAGCATCAAACAACAAGAACAAAAATGACAGTGGATGTGTTTACCAAAGCGACATATTTTTTTGCCCTCGAATGGTTTACATAACCATACGGTACGGAACTATCTTCATTTCATTTCATTATTGTTAAGAGAACAAAAGTAAGAAAAATTAATAGCAAAAAAAATGCTCCAAAGAATCAAAATGTTTGAATGTGATGTATTCTCGCTATTGACCTTCCTTAAGTGTCTGGTAGTTGATAATGTGGATAATTGCTCGAGTTGATTTCTTTACAATGCATAAGAAGCAAAACAATAATTTCTGAATTTCAGCTGTGTTCTGTTTATTGATGTGAGGTGAGGTGGATTGACACGATGACTGGGGCAATGAAATTAAGCGTGCTGGAGTCAGTGAGACTGGCTCAGGATAGGGCAGGATTCAGAGCTGTTGTACACATGGTCATTTTGAGTCACAGGTGACTCAATGACACATAACAACAACGACAATGGTGGTAACCCAGGTGAGTTCATTTTTAAAATTGTTTTTATTAATACTTGAATGATAGTTTCCAGAAAACTTGGATTTCCATTCATTCATTGTTGCACATTTTCCTCCCTACCTGACTCAGCCAATTTGCTTTTCTCTTTAAAAAGATTCTTCATTGTTGGACAATTTCCTCTCTCCCCCTCCCTGAGTCCACTTTGCTATGCACCTCTTATTCTGTACTATTGTCATGAAAATAACACCTAATCATATATTCCTTTTAAGCAGTTCTTTCCCTCATTTGTTTCAATGTAGTGTTAATTATTTATCCCCTTTTTGTTTAGTTTCCCCCAACCCTCATGTCAGTCCTGTGTTTTTTTAATTAAATTTTATTAGTTTTAATGAACATTTACAGAGATTTTGGGTTTTCATTCATTCATTGTTGCACTGTTTTCTCCACCTTCCTCCCC